TTGGAAACCCAATACAGGGTTGGAACCGACTTGATGGCACTTAACAACAATAACAACAGCTCTTAAGAACAATGATGGCACAATGACTCAGTCTTAAGCCATTAACCAAAAGATAGGCAGTCTGAACTCACCATGACAATAAGAGCTGGTGATTCGTGCCTGTAAAGATACAGCCTAGGAATCAGTACTCCTCTGGTATATAGGGTCACTATGTGTTGGAAGCAATTTGACAGCAGACAATAGTAGCAGCATGCTTCCACAAAGCTGTAATGCCACTTCAGAGTAACAAGGTGTCACCAGCTGACAGTAAATTATTAACCAGTTGAGTGTCTTCTGTAGAATAACCTTTAGGGAGAGGTCCCTCTTTGTGGATGAAACCAACATGCAAGAATACTCTTTAAAAGTCTGCTAGCTAAAAGTAAGGCCTATCCTCAAACCAAAATACAAAACAAAAAAAGATTCTAAAACTTATCCGGCGATGTGTTTTTGTTATTTTGCTTCCCACTAAATAGAAGCAGCATAGTAAGACTAAAGGAATATGTGCAGTAGTGACACAGAGAATCCTGTGTTCCATTCGTCATTCACTCCAGAACTTCATTCAAGTTCTGCTTCATATATTGGGTGTTCTGGGGTAGGTTTCCAAAATTCTCTGAGTTTGTCCTTTTAACTATAAAATGTAAAGGTTTACTTGTCTCATAGGTTGCTGAGAGTTCTTTGTGAATTACTCCTCTACACTGATAAAAATTCATCTTTTAAAACTGTGGCTGTGTCCAGCTCTGAAATAAAGGGAAGGAACACTCTTCACACAATGAGTCAGAATCCACGGCACACCGCCACCACCACCATCAGTGGTGAAGAATGGTACTGCAACAGCCAGTCCCATGATGTGAGAGGAAAGGCAGTAACTTCTGGAGATGTTCATAGAATCACAGAACGTTAGAGCAAAGATTTCATAGTTCCCTAACCACCCTGGTTTTTACAGATTAGGATATGGGTTCAGAGACAATGTAGTTCACCCATCATCAAAAAGAAAGTTAAGACACCTTCTGATCTGGGAGCCAGCTGTGATGGATCAATAAGGACTCTGCTTGCCTGAGTATCATACTATGCTGACTATATACAAAGCTTACAAACTCTCTCCCTGCCCTTCCTTTTAAAGTATAGTACAAAATAAGGTTTAAATGCTTCTGTTTGTGTAAAAGCTCTGTTTCCATCAATTTTTTTTTTTTTTTTTTTTTTTTTGGTCAGAAACTTCATCAACAAATTCAAATAAAACAAATTAGATCCCAAGACATCAAGAAACGATTATAAAACAGAATACTGTGTCTGTATTCACAGACTCCTTACAGAAGAGGAAAGAGGGAGTTATGGGGAAAGTGAGGGAACCAAACAAAGAAGGGAGTCAGGTAACTGGACTTTGGGGAGCATCAGAAGTCTTTCCTAGAAGCCAGTGTATTATACCATCAACTAAGGAGGGAAACACATTTTAACACAATATCCTCCTATGCTTGTTGTTATTTTTAACTGCCATCGAATTACCACAAGCACATAGTGATACCATACACAACCATACACAATGTAACTGGACCATTGTGACCCCATAGGGTTTTCTTAGGCTGAGTTTTAAGGAGTCAGACACCAGGCCTTTTCCCCTTGTCTTAGTCTCAAAGCACCATTGAAGCTGCTTCAGCATCACAACAACATGCAAGGCTCCACTGACAAATGGGGGTGTGGGCGTGGATGCATTTGAGGTGCATAGGCTAGAAATCAAATCCGGTCTCCTTCATGGAAGGTGAGAATTCCACCATGGAACCACCAAGACCCCTTCTTGTTTTTATTGCTAAATGCAATAAATGCAATAAATGTTGGTTCTAACTCATATCGACCCTGGGTAGGGTTTCTGAGGAGAGGCTGGAGAGTTGAAGCCACTCTCCTGTAAAATCCAAGTCTGTGGATTTCCCCACAAACTTTTTGAATACTCTTTATGTCAAATATGTTACCTGACAGTGTTCCATTGTTATTCATAAAATTGTCAGTGGCTAAATATTCATAAGTAGTCCACCTCTCTTTCTTCTTAGTCTGTCTTAGTCTGCAAGCTCAGCTGAAATCTGTCCACCATGGGTGACCCTGTTAACATTCAAAATACTGGTAACATAGCTTCCAGCATCATAACAACACATAAACCACCACAATAAGACAAAACCACCACAATAAGACAGATGAGTGGTCTGCTTGTTGAAAGTGAAGAAGACTTAAAATAATCACTGATGAAGATCAAAGACCACAGCCTTCAGTATGGATTGTACCTCAATGTAAAGAAAACAAAAATCCTCACCACTGGACCAATAGAAAACATCGTGATAAAAAGAGAAAAGACTGAAGTTGTCAAAGACTTCATTTTGTTTAGATTCACCATCAACATTCATGGAAGCAGAAATCAAGAAATCAAACTATGTATTGCATTAGGCAAAATCTACTACACAAGACCTCTTTACGGTGTTCAAGAGCAAATATGTCAGTTTAACAACTAGGGTGCACCTGACCCGAGCCATGGTATTTTCAATAGCCTCATATGCATGTGTAAGTTAGACAATGAATACAGAAGTTCATAGAAGAACTGATGCACTAAGTTATGGTGTTAGAGAAGAACATTAAAGGTACCATGGACTGCCAGAAAAACAAACAAATCTGTGTTGGAATAAGTACAACCAGAATTTTCTGCCCCTTAGTATTCAAGATGGCCAGACTTCATCTCTCATAATCCAGACATATTATTAGGAGGCACCTGTCCTTGGAAAAGGACATCACGCTTGGTAAAGTGGAATGTCAGTGAAGATGACGGCGACCCCAAACAAGATGGACTGCACAGCAATGGGCTCAAGTTTAACAATTATTATGAGGTTGGCATAGGACTGGGCAGTGTTTCATTCTGTTGTGCATAAGGACACCGTGAGTCGAAGCTGACTCAATGACACCTAATAACAACAACGTATCAAATGTGTATTATGTTTAAAAGTTTATCTTAAGAAAATCAATTACACAAATGTGTAAAAATGCATGTGCCTTTATGAGACAGAAGAGAGAATGTATACGGATGTTCTTTATACAACTGCTATAAACAAAAAGCAAACTTTCAAATAGGTAATTATATAACTATATTATGAAGTTTATATTTACACACATTCAATACAATACATGCAGCCATAGTTAGTAACATGAAAAATGTTCATAATTTATTAAGTTAAAACAAATTGTACACTAGGGCAATGACACATTTATAAGGAGGAGAAAATAAGCATAGAAACAATGTCAAGACCAAAAGCCAAAATACGAACTTTTATCTTGGAGTAAGATTTGTTGCTTTGTTGGGTTTGCGTTTTATTTTTTGTTGGTGTTGTTAAGTGCCGCTGAGTCAGCTCCAACTTATGTAGGCATTCCGAGAAGTGACTGATGAGTTTGAACCACTTACCTTGTGGTTCAAACTGACCTTACAGTCCAGTGCTTTATCCCATAGTGCCACACCAGAACTCCTGCTAGGTCTATGCATTTTCTAAGCATCCTACAAGTAATATGTATAATTAAAAATAAAACTGCATCATGTAAATGAGCTGATCAGTGAATTAGAAAGATAGAATATAAGATAATTATGACCTAAAACTATAGAATCAGAATAATGACTGTTTTAGTGTCTGCCTCACTGCATGCCTTGAATGGTTATGGAGCTGATTTTGATAAGCATGCTTGAGTCTCATAACCTTCATGCTGCATTTACACGAAGCCTACCTAAGCCAATAATTCAGAAGGAAGGCTTTGCTTTAAATTACAATGTCACTTTAGTGATTAAGGAATTGGTTAGCACATTTCAACTACCTATAGGATTTTTTTTAAGCTACTGATGCTTGAAGTATAGTTTGTTTCTCTACTATTGAACAATAATATATTAACAAAAAATAGATATGATTTCAAATCCTAAATCTGAGACAGCTTTTCTCATTTCAATGCCTCATTCTCTGAATGAGGTAGAAATTCGTAATACATATGCAATGTGTATACCATTGCTTTTAAAGAGAGCAAACAGTATAAAGAACCATGGTAATCCAGATTTATGTATTGAGAAGTAAGAAATAATTTTCCACTTTCACTTTGCTTCACAGGAGCTTTGCTAGTAAGCATTTCCCGCTTGTACTAGATAAATAATGATTTCTCTAGGTCAGTAAACTATGACATTGATTACTTTCACTTACAATAAGTATAACCCATTACACAATGAGTATAAACCAATCACATGTAGATTCTCTTTCGAAGACTGATTTACTATCACTGCTCGCCCCCTCATTTCTGAGAAAAGAGATCAAATTCAGCCAAAATGTGCTTGTTAACCCCTGCCTGGGACCTTCTCTAAGTAATACGCTGTCAAAAAAAAAAACAGGTATAGCTGAGATGTCCTCCCATTCCAGTCTGCCATGGCAGTCTTTTACTTCCCAATGTCCCATGTTGAACAATACATTGTATGGTCAGCTGGTCACCTACACACAGTTTGTCTAATGCTGGGACTGTAATCTGGAATATGTGTGTTGTGTCATCTATGTTCTTATGTAATTTCCCTTGTTGTTGTTAGGTGCCATCAAGTCAGTACTGACTCAAAGCGACACTATACACAACAGAACAAAACACGCCCAGTCCTGCACCATGTCATCTCCTTTACACACTGACAATATGGAATGAAAAGTGCACAGTGTTGTCATGGACACAAATCTCTCCACATAGGTGGCAGATCAATCGGAACAGGAGTATAATTCAAAGTGGACCCTACGCTCCTGTGGAATTTGATACACTATCAGGGGACAAATTACTAACTAACCCAAATCATCCACCTCAAGGTCAAGGTACATATTTGTAAAGTATATATACATGTCATTTCTTCAGTCAATATTTCCAAGTGAGCTCTTCTCTAAATCTGATAAACAATAAAGCAGGGCTGACAAAAGTCAGACACTCACTTGCACATCTGTTCATATCTGGGGCTCGGTGTCCATAGTATCCCGAGGGACAGGAATGTAGACACTCTCCATATTGACGCATCCCTTCTCTTCGAAGAAAGAAGAACAGCTTCTGTTGACATCGGCTGCACCCATTGTCCTTTGAACAAGACAAGCAACCCTTGCAAATGGGATTTGATACATAACTAGCTGCAAAAAGAGCAAACAAAAACACATTTAAATGTGGATATAACTAGAGTTTCTGGTACATACAAAACACCAAAGAAAAGTGTCTTTTGTTCCTCTGCTCTAATTACAAATAAATATTAAATAAAATAAATCCCCAAAATTTATTGTACAACTAAGCCAAGAGGCAAGGAGGAAACTGAAAGACAGAGTTAAGGCTCGAAGCTGAAAGATGAATGGCTCATGGGACACTGGACCAGACCGAAGCAGATCTTACAGCAGGGCGCTGAGTCCGCATCAAAGCACGTACATGTAGAAAACAGAAAATGCGCTCCCTTTATGTGCAAGGGACTTATATGGACTAGTCTATCTAAGAAATAGGGCTGCGATATCTTACGAATCAGGCTGTGAACCTTAAGGTCAGCGGTTCAAAGCTACCAGCTGCTCCGCGGGAGAAAGATGAGGCTTTCTACTCCCGTAAAGACTTACACCCTCAGAAACCCTGTACAGGGTCGCTATGGGTCGGAACCGACTCGACGGCACATAACAACAACAGCATCTAAGAAATAAGTACTAGAACGCCAACTTCACCCCAACTAGCCAACAAGAGGTTAGCAACCCTGGCCTAGGGCTGTGGAATGCATGTGCTAAGGAGAGAGAAAATACCTATCCTAAGCCTGCAAGACATCCAAGTTGGGGTCCAAATTCAAATTATCATATATTGTAGCATCCCTAAATCAAGAAGTTAACATATAAACCTAACGAGAACCAGAAAATCTCACAGAGAAGAAAATGTGAATCTAATCTCGGCATTTCCTACAACCTTGAGATCTGAGTCTTCTATTGAAAATAATCTTAAAATAAAAATAAACAAACCACATGAGCAAGCCATCAGTCTCAGTAAACGAGAGAATTCATATCTGAAGAACTAGAAACATCAAAATAATCTGAAAGCTCCTTTAAATTGTATGTTTAAAGTATTTTTAAAATAAAGGAATAGAAACTATAGGGAGAAGAACAACCTTGCATTAAAATATGTAAGTTACAAATAAATAAAAAATTTACATGTAAAATAGCTTCTCTTTGAACAGAGTGAAATAACTAGAAGATAAATCTGAGAACACCACACAAAACTACATTACAAGAAACTATAAAGACATGAAAATACCAAAAAAAGACACATAAACAAAAAAGGGGGTGGGGGGAGTACATTAAAAAATGCATGATTAGCAGACACTCCAGAACAGAAAATAGAGAATGGATAAAATATATTATATGTGGAAATAATGGATAATTAGTATTTCCTGAATTAAAGATAAGTAAAACAAGTTCACACTTAGACAAGCATATTTATACTAATGAACAAATACAGAAAGAAATAGGTTATTTATAAAGGAATAAAAATTTGACTAACAGATTTCTCATCAGAAACAATAAATACTAGAAGATAGTAGAATATTATCTTCAGTATGCTGAAGGGAAATGACTGTCAAAAGTCTGTAAGTTAAATAACATTTTAAGAATGAGGGAAAAATAAGAACTTTCTGTCAAAATAAAGGTATTTATGAATTAAAATCACTTACTGAAAGAACCATGTAACCATGTATTTTGAAGAAAATAAAATCATACCCAAAAGGAGTCAGAATGGCAGTCAGCATGCTGAAACTCTACAGCAAAGACCCAGGAAACCAAGTTAAATAGACCCAGATGGCATCCCTGGGCCCCTGCACATCAAATGGAAAGATAAGGAATTAGACTGAATACTGACTCAAAAAAGAAACAGAATAAAAACAGTGAGTGAGGTGAGACACAGAGTGGAGGTGCCCCAAGATGTAGCCCAGCACACATGACAACCTTGAGACAAAGTCAGCAGTAATCCTCAGAGAGGAGCATAAGAGGGCAGCTGTACTAGGAGACCGAGAAGCAGATAGATACCCCTGGAGTAAGCCAAGTTGAGCTAAACATAAAACCATATCTAAGGAGGAGCAAGAAGGAACCTGAGAGCTCCAAAGACCCTGGAGTCCACAAAGCAAGAAGAAAGTCCACACCTAGAATGGGGAATAGGCACCAGCAGTGGTCCTGATCATTAGGGTGATGCATTCAAGATGTAAGAGACCCCTCACCCACCCACCCAACTAGACTCTGAGAAGTGACCCCGCTCTTTGTACTCGGTAAAACTGGGTTGACCGCTAACCGCAACTAGAGGAGGCACCTTGACTAGTGACCAGAGGAGCATGCTCCCAATCCCTCTGCCTCCTATGAGCAGCGGAACAGGGATCCTCAACTCCATCACCCCATCTGTCAGCCCAGGCTCACCTGAAACCTCAACCACTCAATCCAAGCAAGGGGAGAACCTTGTGCATGCACTCAATCAAACACTGGACACCATCAGTCTGGTCCAAATCGTAGGGACTGTACCACACATGAGCCCCATCACCCACTGACCTCATCTCTACCTGCTCCAGGCTAAGGGAAGTGCCCCATAAATGTGCTCAGTTATCTGGTCTGAGCATGAGGAATTCCCTGAGTATATACCTGGTCACATGCCAGCCCCTAGCCCCTCAGTCCAGGCAATTTCCTACCACATACACACATACAGCAACGGCCCCAGGGAGTGCCTTATGCATGTGCCCATTCACCTATACACCCATGTCCTGACAGCATGGGCCACAGGGACTACCAATCCAATGGCCTAAATGGCAAGGAGTACCCCACACAAGTACCATATAACCTACCTCACTCCACCTGCCCCCACTAGGATCCAGAGTCAGGCACAGTCACAAATAACTGTCCCTGCTGAGTGTGCCACTAGCTACCATGCACAAACAACAAACAGACCCACTCTCACTCTACCAAACACTGCCCCAGTCACTCAAAGACAGGTGGTAACACTCCCACCAGTACTGCTGGGCCACACACCAACAGAGCATGCAAATCCACCAATCCAGATATAGCAAAACAAAATAAAAAATCAAGAAGCAGCTAACAGACGATTAATAAATAAATATAATAATACCTTAATGCCTTCAATGCGGTTAATTACTTAATATGGCCCTTCTAGCCATAGCTCTCCATTTGGAGATATATTGTAAATTCTGTTCTCTGGCACTGTGGGTTAATGCACCAGACTGCAAAGCTGTTTGAACTGCAAGGTCAGTGGTTCAAGCTCACCAGCAACTCCTCAGAAACCCTACACAGAGTAGCTATGGGTCGGAACCTACTCAACGGCAGTTAACAACAACAACAACATGCTTGTGATAACGGTCCTATTTTGGAGTGTGTTGTCTATTGTATTAATGAAGCAGAATTAAGGTGGGATACCTGGAGTTCCTGACTTACTAAAGAGTGTAACTCAAGTCACCACACTTGAGATTCCTTGGTGGTGTGGTCTGCAAATTAGCAGTCCTCTTTGATATCTGTGTGAAAATAAGAAATAACTTCCTGTTATAAGCTGTTCTCTTATGAGGCAAACTGCCAGCTTCCTGCTTTAATTAAGAAAAGCAGAAGGTTGGGGTCACAGAACTGGCTGAGATGAAACCTGCTCTGCCTAATATGTGCAGTGATAACCAACATGTCCTGCCTAATATGTG